GCCTAATGATGTTCATATTTAAAATAAAAGCGAAGACTTTCAGTTATTAGAAATGATAAATATGATTGCAAGACAATCTCAGATAGCCTTGAGATGGTGGAGCAATACTGAGGCAATGGATGGTGATTGAATATGATTTCAAAATCTGCGTCGCAGAAAGACCCAAACCAGTAGTCTCTGTATCACTTCTCCGGTGCTCTACCAAATGAGCTACAGAACCGAACCAACATCAACTGGCAACCTGTTTCTTTTATTCGAATTCTGTTTAGTTAGGATCGACAACAGATCTAGTTGGAAAACTAGTGTGGTTATAAACAGAAATTATAAACATTATCCACATGACAACTGGGCATTACCCGTGATGATCGCGGTTAAATGATGACCTGGTTATCAGTTGTGTCTCGTACGTCAGCTGGTAGAGCACCGGAGTAGTAATTCGAAGGCCACCACCAATCATCATCACCCATTACATAAATGACAAGTATATTTAATACAGAATTAAAATACTTTAACCTCTGACTTTTGTGTAGTTCTTTAGATTAACCTAGCGATGAACGATGTTTTCTATCATCCATATACACGCACATACACTGGTAACAAGTATTAACAATCTTTTCTAATGCACTACGTCATCCTAAGATTACATATGACAGCTTCAGCAGCTGAACAGCATTAATAACTAATACTGAACAGTAAATATTTGGAAGTTATTCCAGTTAGTGGAGATTTGGTTTATTGCCTTAGGCATTCGACTTCCGGTCAATATGTTCAAATTCCACTTCCCCTAATTCAGCCTGAATGGCTGAGCAGTACCATACGCCCTCATACATTGACTGTGACTCAAAGCCTGATAACTGAGTTTTAACCAACCAGGAGGAAATTATTTCTTTGATAGACGGATACGGCTGACGTTTTATCCTGTTAGTTTGATATATTTCTTATTAAATACCTTAAGTCACAACACTTGTATGTACTAACAGTAATGGATATAAAAGTATTCAGTCACTTTTGTTCATCTCCGTAAGGCCTAACATCATAATTCCTCAACTTTTGAAGATTCGGGATATCTTGTGATTATCATTTAATATCATGGGTGAGCACGTACTGACTCAACCGATTTTCACCCACCTCTCCAGTTGCGACATTTTATTAAACTTTAGGAAATCCACCTCAAAGCAAGTTACTGATAGGCAACTAATCAATCTTCGATTGGTAGGTCTGTTCTAATTCACCTGATTTTCAATTCGATAGATCTCTAAGTGATATCATTTTGTTACAATATTTACCATGATAACCAGTTATTATTATCATCATTACTTTATTTTATTCCTTTTCGCTCCCAGTGGGAAAATAGGGCTTCAGACTAGAGCTTCGAAGTTCTAGTGTAACAACAGAAGACAAGGGCGAAGCAACAGATCGTTTTATTATGAAAATCAACACGTATTTATACATCTTTCAACTACATTATTATAGACAAGCGCAGTCATCTGATTGGTTGTTTAGGTAGACAAACGCAGGCTTCTGATTGGTTGTTTCGGGATTCCTTGACAAATAGAGTTCTCTCTGCGAATCATATTCTGCCACGTTAACTTTGCTGTGATTGGTTGTTGACTCAGGCTTGTTCATATTTTCTCACGGCCCATATTAGTGACCTAGACCTTAACGTAGATTAGTGCCAACCAATCGGCTAGCAGCCTGCTCTCACCACACTCGTCCCCCCGTCAATACGTGCGACTGAAGTCGGCTTGATCTACTTGGTGCAGGCGTCATCGTTGGCTTGTCTCGCTGTATCCATTTCTGGAGCTCGCTGACGTTCACGCGCCTCTCATTGTTCGCCATTGCGACTGTGTCTGCGTAACCCCATCTCGAAGTGACCATATATGGTCACTCCCACTTTGGAAACTGTTTGCCTGACCCTGTCGAACATTCGTCCATACTTCGGCCCACACCTTCATATGCTGCTTTCGCCCGACCTCCAGCAGCGTCTCAAGTAGCAGCTCCATCGCTGACAGATCTTGAACGCCACTCAACTGCGCAGAAGCCTTGAAGTCCTGCCCGAAGATCCATATGTCTCCATCAAAAACTGCAGGGTATAGGCTTTTCATTTGTCGGTAGGCAGCGACACCAAATGTAACAACAGAAGACAAGGCGAAGCAACAGATCGTTTTATTATGAAAATCAACACGTATTTATACATCTTTCAACTACATTATTATAGACAAGCGCAGTCATCTGATTGGTTGTTTAGGTAGACAAACGCAGGCTTCTGATTGGTTGTTTCGGGATTCCTTGACAAATAGAGTTCTCTCTGCGAATCATATTCTGCCACGTTAACTTTGCTGTGATTGGTTGTTGACTCAGGCTTGTTCATATTTTCTCACGGCCCATATTAGTGACCTAGACCTTAACGTAGATTAGTGCCAACCAATCGGCTAGCAGCCTGCTCTCACCACACTAGTAGTAGCGGTGTTTTTCACGGGATGGGGTGTGGCTAGTCTCACACTTAACCTTCCCTTTTTATCGGGCTTACTAGTGGCTAAGCGAAGCAAAGATATGCGTTAGCTGAGTATCGAAACCGGGACCATTTGCGTGGTTGGCCAGTGTCCTACCTCTGAGCCACTGACACTGTAATAACTAGCATTTCTTTGAAACTTGAGGGCTTTTATAAGCAAGCAGACTAAACCACTCATAGTACGCAAGTTGAAAGGAAGGTAATTTCCTGATTATTGTAAGTCAATTTAGTGAGTGTAAAAAGCGACTGTGCTAAAATTAGTTGAAATATGCTGTTATACATTTCAAACCACTGTCTGCTCTATATATTTATATTAACTGAAGTAGGTTTAAGTATGAGGAAAATTTACGTTGGGTAAAAAGGTGAAAAATGATACTTATTCATAAAATCACTGACTATTGATCACAACTGCGTAAAGCAATATGTACTTCATATTTGAGTTCTAAGATGGTTGGAAAATCTCCAAGTAATAGAAGTAGTGGAGATAAACTGAGTCCTAATCATCAAAATCATCTAAAGTTGAATAATTAACTATGAACAGATCATACGTATTCGATTATTTTAATAATATATGCAGCACATGCCTGCTGATTGTTTGTTTCAGTGTCATTGCAGAATCGGAGTAATTTGTATCATTGTACTTTTTGTTAGAGCTATTACGTCTCTTTATTTGCTCACTTTTTGGACCTTTACCACAAAAAGTTTATACTATTTGAAGAATCATTCTACGATGACTATCCTCAATATGGAGAATTCCTCATTCTTTTAAGAACTTAAAGTCTACAATCACGCATACTGTATCGATAATATTTGAATTACTTTTCGTCTTTTAACCTTTAAGTGGATGATACACTTCACTGATGAAACACTTTAAAATAACAATAAACTGACATCAAAGACTATTTAACCAAGACAAATGTTCAACCAGCGATAGATACCACCTTCATGAATCGTATAGAAAAGGTCTGTAATGTTACTGCAGAACTGAGGCACTGTGGTAGAATATAATTCTATAAGTTTATTTTAAATATCACATAGTGATGGCAGTATTAACAACTGGATGATGACGTTTTGAGCATAAATTATTGCTCATAATCGTACCAATTTAGTCACACAGCTTCACAATCTGTCTTATACATGCCATCACTGTGTTTGGATTCAACATAGAACTTGTCACCTAAGTGCACCAGTTCCAGTTGCCACGTTCCAAATAGCACACAAAGGTAGACAAGAAGATGAGTGAAGAGAATCAATACAGTCTGACAAGTATAAGAGTGAAACAGAATGGGTAATGGTAGAAAGGAATATGAAGGATTACAGAGACTGAATACATCTGCACCACTGACAACGATTTTGAGCCATGTCACCTATTGTCTCCAGCCATTGATTCTTAGAGTCCCGAGGGCCCCAACCCGGAAGTCTGCATCTTCCTACTTGACTCAGTTTAACTGTCAAGGATTTCATGGATTGATGAGGCCATGTTTTTGTTTGGCCACCACTTACTCTTTTCCAACCTGCACCTATATCCGCTAGTAATGCCCGTCGGGGGAGGCGATGGTTAGGCAGGCATGTGCACCACGTGACCTAGCCATCTTAGTCTATGTAACTTTATAGCCTCGTCGATTGATTTTCCCTCTTTGCCCAACACTACGCCTAACGTCAACATTACTTACCTTGTGAAACCACCTAACGTGAGAAGAGATCGCAGACATCTATGATCGAAAGCAGTCAACCTTTTCATGTCTTCAACGCGTATTGGCCATGTTTCAGAGCCATAGAGAAGGACGGAGCGAACTGTTGAGCAGTACACACGTCCCTTGGTTGATAACCGGATGACACGCCTTCGCCACAGATGGTGTAAGTCAGCGAAAGCAGCTCAAGCTTTTCGGATCCGTGCTGAGATTTCATCGCCAATCAGTCCGTTGGTGCTGGCTGATACAACTTCCCAAATAGGTGAAGTGGTCAACATGTTCTATCACTTCACTCCCTATCACTAAGTTAGGAGTTGACGTGGTCCAGTCCTGTAGCAGCATCTTACATTTTGTAGGGGCGAATCGCATGCCAAACATACGAAGATTGTTGCTCAAGGTGTTCAGAAGACTCTGCATTTTGTCACCATCCTCCCCTAACAGGACTATGTCATCTGCATATTCTAAGTCCATAAGACTATTCCCTGGTAACAAGTCGATTCCTAAGCCGTTACGTTCAGTTAAGGATACTTTCATCAGCATATCTATGATGAAGTTAAACAGAAATGGGGAGAGTAGACATCCCTGTCGGACACCACTGGTTGTTACCAATTCAGATGACAATTCCCCATAAGCCCTCACACGGCTACATGAGCTTGAATAGACCATCACTGTGTGGTATTTAAAACAAATTCATCTAATGTGGAAAAAAGCTCTCTGTTTATATGTATATAAGTCCAAAACTACACATAAATAATTGCTAATATAAACAATAACAACGAAAAAATAATTAAACTTACAGATGATGAGAGATTAATGGATGGTGTAATATTATTTAAATCAAAGCTATCACTACCTTGATCTTCCATGATATTTGCAAAGCATGATTCAACCGGCTGAAATATAAGACAATTAAAGAAGTATTTATTTATTATTTAAAACAATAAACTAGGTACAGAATATAATCCCAAAGATATGTACTGCGGAAATGAATACAGTAAATTTGATGTAGTTGTTTTCTCTAAGCTGGATGATTTATTTGGGAAGCTTTGATTGCCCTACTAGGCACCATCTTCAGAGCATACTTCAATTTGAAGTAAGCTTTTACGTTTCTCCTGGTCGTCATGAGTATGCGCTGAAGATGTTGCCTAGTAGGGTAATGAAAGCTTTGCAAATAAACTATCCAGTTCAGACAACACAACTACATCAAAATGATCCACTTGAACTATAAGTCTTCTTCATTACATCTAAATAATACATTAAACATATGAAGAAAATAGAAATCAAATATGAACAAAGAAGGAACGAACATATTTGCAGGATAATTACTACCAGCTCGTTTTATTTCGTGGATTCTTTTCAACTATGTATGTAACAACAGAAGACAAGGGCGGGCAACAGATCGTTTTATTACGGAAATCAACACGTATTTATATATATTTCCTGTACATTATTATAGCTTATTCGAGTAGACAAACGCAGTCTTCTGATTGGTTGTTTCGGGTTTCCTCGGAAAGTGGAGCCATCTATCTGCGAATCATATTTGTCCACGTTAAGTTTGCTGTGACTGGTTGTTGAATCAGCCTTGTTCATATTTTCTCACGGCCAATATTAGTGACCTAGACATTGACGTAAATTAATGTCTACCAATTGGCTAGCAGCCTGCTCTCACCACACGTACATCCTAAACATCAAATATTTTCTAACTTACTTTATTCAAAAGTGACATCGAGTTTCACATAAAAAGTATAAGCAAGATAATTCCAAAATTGATGTAAGCAGATAAATCATTCAGTGTTAAAAGATCAACTATTTATAATACAATTAGATAAGATAGGAGGGAAGGGTAGAGTTCAGATTTAGCTTGGAAACAAGGATCGACTAGAGACAAAATACAAGACTAAACAACATAGTGAATTTATACACATTATGATGGAGAGTTCAAAAGGGTGGGAGTGAAAAATTAAGTAAAATAACGATATAAACACAGAATTAAGTAAATTTGGAAACTTAATAGTGAGTTCAGATCAGTGAGTGCGAAAATCAAAATTAAGTGACATGTTGAGCAACGGAACAAAATACAAAAGCATAAGAGCAAACAATTGCAGTCACCAGGGTAGTGAGAGATTAGTCACACTATCTTCCCGTATACAAAGATTGAGTAGAAGTCTTTTGATGGTGGTGGCTTCTGAAAACCGAAGTAACTACATTACACTAATTAATTATTTTGAAAGCCTGGTCAATTACCACTGTGTCCTTAGCCAATAAGGTGTCTGACAAACACACTTGAGAACACTTTATTGCCTTTCATAAGAAGATTTCGGGATATGCTCAGAAAATTTAGTAAGCGCTCTCCGCTGAGTCCTTCATATATGTGTCAATTTTTGGAATTATATGTTGCTATGTGAAACTCGAGTTAAAAAAAATTTGTAACTTATATTTTCATGTATTGGTTTGTACGGTTTTGGTTGATTGGTTGCAGGATTTCATCATGAGCTGACATTGGTTAGAGAACCATTGGAAAACCTAGGAGTACTGGACAGCTGTTTTGTCCTAGTTTGGGACTCTTTATCAGTAAGCATCCACCGCCAGGGTTAGAACCCAGGACCTTCTGGTTACAAGGAGAGCTCGTATACCATTCAGCCACTGGAACCCGATTCTAACTTCTACCGATTCACGATATAGCGCAACCTCAGCCAATGTCTTCGGCGAGTATTTGTCCTCACACCTGACCTGCTGCACCCTACTGGTCACGACTTCCAAGTTCTGGGTTCGAATCCCAGTGGTTGCGTACTGATGAAGAGTCCCAAACCAGGACGAAACAGCTGGTCGTCCAGTACTTGCAGGTGGGTTTTCCAATGGTTCTCTAACTAATGTCAGCTCATGATGAAATCCTGTAAAGCAATCAAATCCCTACAACCCAACACTTGAACATTGTGTGATTCTTGATGAGATGAGAATGAGTGAGGTATCCACAATAATATATGAGTCCATTTCTTCAAATCTTGAGTAGTATAAATTAAAAGTGAACATACTGATAATTTTACTTCTGAAGTTCAGCATCATTCTCATTTCCGTACCCACTAATATCCCGTAAATTAACCTTTTCTCTTCGTAATTTATCGTTTAATTTCTTTCAGTTTCTACTGATCAAGTACCCGGTAAGGTAAACCACTGTTCTCTTCTGTGCTAAATTAATCAGTTGGTCGACTAATACTACAATTATGTACAATACACCGAGTAGTGAATTGAAAGTATTCAAGAAAATAACTTGCGATTGCAATATTCAACTAAATCTATAGAAGAAAATAAGGTGAATCTAGGGGAAAAAAGAATACTTATTATAAAATGAAATCAACATACAGAATTCATATCCGATGGGGTAGGCGAATCATTGGATCCCATTTCTAGTACACTCAATTCTGAATTAGACTTGATCTGTGTATTCGGAGATGTGCCATCAAAACTGCTATGCTTTGAATGAAGATGAGATTGTACATGACGTTGAGCTGAACTATGTTCTGTAAAATGCATAGGTACTGTTTGACTAACTGCCTTGTTTGTAGCATTAATACCACTATTACCCGTGATGGTGGTATTAGTAGTACTAGTTGCATTCGAAGTATTAGCAGCAGTCATTAAATGTATTGAATTACGACTATCTACAGAATGCTGGTTCGCAGGAGCATTGGCGCTAGCGTTCGATGTAATCAAAGATGATTTACAATTATCAACGGATGAATTCAGTTGTTGATTACTTTTCTCCTGCAGTACACTGGACACCATAGATTGTGAATCTTCCTGTGATAGGAAAAATCTTGTCTAAAAAGAAAAGAAAAGAAAGATCGGCCAGATAAGCTACTTAAAAAAAACTATATGTATAACGGAAATAAATGACAAATCAGTGAAGAAAATTTTCTTCATCGACGAAAACACTTTCAAAGCATGTAAAATCGCATTTGGTGACGACTAGTTGTGTCCGTCAAGGATGCCCATTACCCACTTTTCTATTCAATTTCATCATAGATGTACTAATGGACTTGACCCTAACTCACCTCAGCGAGTCACGGATTGACATGCTACCAGGGAATAATCTCGTTGAATTAGAATATGCAGACGATATAGTCCTTCTAGGCGAAGACACTGACAAATTCCGTCAGAGTCTTCTGAACACCTTGAGCTGCAATCTACGAATGTTTGGAATGCGATTAGCTCACGCCAAATGTAAGATGATGTTACGCGACTGGACCACACTGACTCCTAGCTTAGAAATAGGGAGTGAAGTGGTAGAGAACGTCGACCGCTTCACTTATTTGGGAAGTACCATCAGACAACGCCAACGGGTTGATCTCTGATGAAATCTCAGCACGAATACAGAGGGCTAGTTTCGCATTTGCCAGTTTACGCCGACTCTGGCGTAGACGAGATGTTCGACTATCGACCAAAGGGCGGGTGTACTGCTCATCAGTCCGCTCCGTCCTCCTTTATGGTTGTGAGACCTGGCCACTGAGAGTGGAAGACATGAAAAGACTAGCTGTCTTTGATCATAGGTGCCTGAGCTCTATTTCCCGTGTAAAGTGGCATAATAAGGTGAGCAATATTGAGTTTGCACCTCGGTCGACTGCTAGGTAAGGAGGGGAAATCAATCGACGAGGCTGTGAAGTTACATCGACTGGGATGGTTAAGACATGTGTTACGTATGCACGCCTAGTCATCGCCTTCCTCGACAGTGGGCAATGTTATCTGACATAGGGTCAGGCTGGAAAAGAGTTAGCGGCGGTCAAACAAAAACATGGCCTCACCAGTCAATGAAATCGACAACAGTTGGTCTAAGTCAAAGCCTCAGGATGGTCGGGGGTGGGTGCCTTGCGCTGCGTGTTGGCCACCCCTACGTACACCTCTTGAAATGCTCCCATATGACCGGGCGTCTTACATAGCCTCTCCTGAGGAAGTCCTGCTCATTACCTTCACGTGGCGGAGGTGTTTTTCACGGAAGTGAGAGGGCAAAAGCGGATACCCGGCGATCTTCACCGGGTTGACTGTCCATTGGATAACAGTCTAGGGGAGATGGCTAAACTCTGATTCCAAACCTCCAACGACTGGTGTATGAAGCTCACCGGAGCTCACCGGCAGACGTATGGACAAAGGGCTTATTGGATGCCCTGGATGTCTGGCCCCATTCAAAAAGGTGTATGAAACGGACTCCGGTCACCGGCTGCCAATGGTTAGTGGACTCCCTACTGTCTGTCTGTCTGTTTTCGACATAGAACTTTGCACAAATGTGCGGAAGTTCAAGTCGCCACACTCCGTGTAGCACGCGAAGCAAGAGAAGAAAGTACAAGAAAAGCATAACAGAAACAGTGAGCAGGGGTGTGAGACAAAGGAGTAATAAAGAAAAACAAAACAGTTTCATTGGAGATCATAAGTCACAAGGAATGGATGCATCTGCGCCACTGAGAACGATTTTGAGCCATGTCACCAATTGTTTTCAACCATAGATTTTTACCGTCCCGAGGACCCCAGCCTGGAAGTCTACACCTTCCTACGTGACTTACTTACTTACTTTACTTCGGCTATCTCCTACGGGAGGATGAGCCGGCTTCATGAACGTCTCGAATCATCGCTGCCCAGGCGCGGCGATCTGATGCAAGGTTTTGCGACAGGGTTATCCAATTCTTGTTCCACAGACGGAGTCCGTAGACGGTTTGTAGCCCCAGGCACTCCATATCAGCCTTGACTGTACCAAGCCATGTCTTCAGCTGTCCACCCCTGCGACATCGCCAAGATGGTAATGGCGAGGGATTTAGAACTGATTTGACCAGATCGTCATCTGGTCGGCGCAGAACATGGCCAAACCACCGAAGGCGGCGTTGTTGGACCAGTACTGGAATTTGGTTGATGTTGTAGCAACGACGACGCACTTCTTCGTTGGAGAGTTTGTCCTGCCAACGAACATGCAGAATGTACCTGAGGCACCAATGGTCTACTACCTCGAGTCTGCGTAAATCTTCCGCGCGAAGAGGCCAGGTTTCACAGCCATACAGGAGAACGGGTCGTATGGAAGCTTGGTAGACCCGAATTTTAGTCCTGAGACTGATTTCTCTCTTGCTCCATAGAACGCTCCTCAGCTGTAGAAACGCATTCCGGGCGTTGGAGATTCGCGCATTCACTTCGTTTTTCGCTTGGCCGTTGGGGAGCATTATGGATCCCAGATATCTGAAGGATGGCACAATTTCAATAGGTGCTCCATTTAGGGATAAGATTTCATCATTGCTGGTGGATGTGTTCGAAAACATTTTGGTTTTGGAAGTGTTAATTTTCAAACCGATAGTAGGCGCGAGGTGGTTTATCTGGTCGAGCGCCTGTTGCATATCGGGGAAGTTTTCAGCTAACAGCACGACGTCGTCGGCGAATTCGAGGTCGGTTATGTGAATATCGGGCGAAAGTTGGACGCCGTGGTGCTCGGTTAGGGCGTGCCGCAAAATCCAATCAATTGTGAAATTGAACAGGATGGGGGATGCTGGACAACCTTGCCGGACACCGCTGGTTACCTCAAAAGTGCGGGACTCTTCACCGTTCACTCGGACTCGAGCTTTGGTGTTGGAGTAGTATGACCTGAGCAGGTTGATTAGCTTGGTCGGAACTCCGTCGAGCTCCATTAGATACCAGAGTGCTCCTCGATCAACTGAGTCGAATGCCGCTTGGAAGTCGATGAAGCAAGCAACCGTCGGCTGTTGGAATTTGTCCCTGTGTTCCAAAATTCTTCGCAGTGTGAATAATTGATCAACACAGCCTCTTCCAGGTCGAAATCCGGCTTGATTTGGCCTTGTTCGCACGTGGCGTTCGGCCGCGAAGCGGTTCAGGAGAATGGAAACAAAAACCTTAGCAGCGATATCAATCAGACTTATGCCTCGGTAGTTCTCGCATATTGACCTGTCTCCCTTTTTGTGGAACGGTAGCAGAACTGAGGTGCTCCAATCGGAAGGAATGGTTTCGGACTCCCAAATTGAGCAGAACAGCGAGTGCAGTGCATCGATTAGCGCTGGAGTGCAGGCCTTGTATATTTCTGGGGGTAGACCATCTTCGCCCGGAGCTTTTTTGTTTCTGAGTCTGTTAATTGTTTTAGCTATTTCGGTTGGAGTGGGTGGATCGCAGTCAACTACGTAGGGTGTTGGTAAGTGTCGTATCGGTCGATGAGACGGTTGACCAGCGTCGCGATTGAGTAGCTGCTTGAAGTGTTCGGCCCATCGTTCCATCTTACCATTGGTGTCCGAAATAATTTCTCCTGATGCTGTGCGTAACACAGCATGACTGTTAAGGCGTTTGCCAGATGATTGGCGTATGAGGCGATAAAGTTTTCCGAAATCGCCTACATTTGATGCTGCTTCCATGTTAGTCGCCACGTTAGACCAATAGCGATTTCTGTCGTTCCTAGCAGACTGTGTAGCTTTGCGCCTGAGGGAGCGATAAACTGGAGACTTTGCTAGGCGAGCGTCTCTGGCTTGCGAGGATAGAAGCATGGTGTGCTCTGAAATCCAGTCTTTCTGCTTCTTGGATGTGGTACCCAAATGCGACATTGAAGCTTTAGAGACTACTTCTTTGAAATGATTCCATCGTGTCTCGGGTGTATTAGAAGATGTGGATGTTGGTTCATCTGCGGCGCTTAGTTCGGCCTGGATTTGTTTGGACAAGGCTTGTCGCTTTGTCGAACATTGAAGCGGGGCAACATTGATACGCTTCGGAGGTCGCGCCTTCTGGCGTGTTGTTAAACGAAGTTTGAATTTCGCCCTAACTAGAGTATGGTCTGATCCCCCTTTATTTCCGGCCTCTGCTCCACGATAGGATCGACAGTCTTCCACCGAGGAGATCCAGCGTGAGCGCACTAGGATGTAGTCGATCTGATGTGCAGTGCGACCGTCGTTCGAATACCAGGTGAGAAGATGTTTTCTGGGGTGTTGAAATCGAGTGTTGGTGATATATAATCGATTGTAATCAGAAAAAGCTAAAAGTCTATCACCATTACGGCAGCGCTGATCGAGACCGTGTTTGCCTAGTATATGTTTTGTCGCGTCGTCTGAAGGGCCAGTGCGGGCGTTCCAATCGCCGGCTACTATGAGAACGTCACGCTTTGGGATTTTGTTGATTGCCTCTTGAAGATTGTCATAAAATTCGTCTTTGATACTTTCATCAGAGTCGAGGGTTGGGGCATAGACAGCGAGAACAGAAATGTCGAGCGGGGAACCCTTGAACCTAGCGACTGCAACTCTGGAGTTGACCGGTTCGAATGATATTAGGGCATTATTGGCTTTGTTACTGAGAGCAAATGCTACCCCATGTTGTCCCGAATTATTCTGGGGTCCACTATGAAGCAACCAGAATGAAGAATCTGTTCCAGGTACGGCTATTCGGCGGGAGCCATGATCGGGTAACCTCACTTCAGATAGACACGCTATGTCCACCTTGTAGTCGTATAAAGAACGCATGGTGATAGACTGGCTACCAGGATCCAACAGCGTCCTAACATTCCAGCAGCCAACAAATAGTTGGTTTCTAAGTGTTAATTTCCCAGCTAGCTTACTTTTCACACTGGCCACCGGGTGAGCACAGGGCGCGTCGCCTACCGGGAACGCCGTAGCATGGTGAGAGTTGTTTGTAAGAGAGTTCATGAAGTTTCATGGGAATTAGGTACGAGTGAAGTCCCCAGCATCGCTCGGCCTTTTGTTTGAGAGTGCAGCTCTAGCCTTTACACAACCAAGTGTGACCTACAAGGCAGTAGGAGTGGAGTAGGGAGTCCACTATCCATTGGCAGCCGGTGACCGGAGTCCGGTTCATACGCCTTTTTGAATGGGGCCAGACATCCAGGGCATCCAATAAGCCCTTCGTCCATACGTCTGCCGGTGAGCTCCGGTGAGCTTCATACGCCAGTCGTTGGAGGTTTGGAATCAGGGTTTAGCCATCTCCCCTAGACTGTTATCCAATGGACAGTCAACCCGGTGAAGATCGCCGGGTATCCGCTTTTGCCCTCTCACTTCCGTGAAAAACACCTCTGCCACGTGAAGGTAATGAGCAGGACTTCCTCAGGAGAGGCTATGTAAGACGCCCGGTCATATGGGAGCATTTCAAGAGGTGTACGGAGGGGTGGCCAACACGCAGCGCAAGGCACCCACCGCCGACCATCCTGAGGCTTTGACTTAGACCAACTGTTGTCGATTTCATTGACTGGTGAGGCCATGTTTTTGTTTGACCGCCGCTAGTTCTTTTCTAGCCTGACTCTATGTCAGATAACATTGCCCATTGTCGAGGAAGGCGATGACTAGGCGTGCATACGTAACACATGTCCTAACCATCCCAGTCGATGTAACTTCACAGCCTCGTCGATTGATTTCCCCTCCTTACCTAGCAGTCGACCGAGGTGCAAACTCAATATTGCTCACCTTATTATGCCACTTTACACGGGAAATAGAGCTCAGGCACCTATGATCAAAGACAGCTAGTCTTTTCATGTCTTCCACTCTCAGTGGCCAGGTCTCACAACCATAAAGGAGGACGGAGCGGACTGATGAGCAGTACACCCGCCCTTTGGTCGATAGTCGAACATCTCGTCTACGCCAGAGTCGGCGTAAACTGGCAAATGCGAAACTAGCCCTCTGTATTCGTGCTGAGATTTCATCAGAGATCAACCCGTTGGCGTTGGCTGATGGTACTTCCCAAATAAGTGAAGCGGTCAACGTTCTCTACCACTTCACTCCCTATTTCTAAGCTAGGAGTCAGTGTGGTCCAGTCGCGTAACATCATCTTACATTTGGCGTGAGCTAATCGCATTCCAAACATTCGTAGATTGCAGCTCAAGGCGTTCAGAAGACTCTGCCGGAATTTGTCAGTGTCTTCGCCTAGAAAGACTATATCGTCTGCATATTCTAATTCAACGAGATTATTCCCTGGTAGCAAGTGAAGGACTCCCTACTCCACTCCTACTGCCTTGTAGGTCACACTTGGTCGTGTAAAGGCTAGAGCTGCACTCTCAAACAAAAGGCCGAGCGATGCTGGGGAGTTCACTCGTACCTAATTCCCATGAAACTTGATGAACTCTCTACAACATCAGCCAAATTTCAGTACTGGTCCAACAACGTCGCCTTCGGTGGTTTGGCCATGTTCTGCGCCGACCAGATGACGATCTGGTCAAATCAGTTCTAAATCCCTTGCCATTTCCATCTTGGCGATGTCGCAGGGGTGGACAGCTGAAAACATGGCTTGGTACAGTCAAGGCTGATATGGAGTGCCTGGGCCTACAAACCGTCTACGGACTCTGTCTGTGGAAAAAGAATTGGATAACCCTGTCGCAAAACCTTGCATCAGATCGCCGCGTCTGGGCAGCGATGATTCGAGATGTTCATGAAGCCGACTCATCCTCCCGTAGGAGATAGCCGAAGTAAAGTAAGTAAGTACATGGAGGGAGTGTGGTGACTTGAACTGCCGTACATATGTTCAAAGTTCTATGTCGAAAAACAATCGTATTTATACTTAGGAAACATATACAATAGTCTATTACTAAGTATAGTAGAGGGGTGACAACTGATAGAATTACTCAGAAGTGGTTTCCAAGATAATAGTAAATAATAAAAGAGGTACTATGAAAGTTGGACGACACAAGTGAGCTTTACCTTCACCAGATGATAGATGCGATTATGTTATTTAATCACAGATGCACATCAAACATCATTGACTACTTTATTCAATACATTAAAGCTAGTTTTTAGAATGTACTAGTGAACTGTATAATCATTCAACTAAGTGGATAAATAAATACACACTCGAGATGAATAATTACAGCCGTATGTAATGATTTTTTTTCGACGATCAGAACTACCTCCTTACGTAAATTTTTGTAAAGGAGTACAAACATGTTTTGGTTATAAAAATGAATCACTAACTTAAATCAGCGACACTGTTCATGGTATGTGTATTTTAAATTTCCTAATGAATTATCTTAACCAAATTTGGTATATACATAAAAAAAGGCTAGGCTAACTGCTGCTTCATGAAATAACGATCTATCGATCAGAACATCGGACGAAAGTCACTATTGTTTTCTATTTTGTTAGAAAAATCTCAGCAAAATCACTGCATAGTTTCCTTACTTCTCATAAGTATTTCCACAGGGAAAGTAATAAATGGAAAGAAACAAAAATAAACTTAGTCTTATTTGATCTCAAGGTAGTTTAATTGTAACGAAATCGTTTAGAACCGACTTCATTTAGAAGAGATTTGAAAACGTATATAATTCGATTGAAACTAATGAATCTGAGAGAAGAGGATTGAAGACAATCTATATCCTTTATCAGAGGGAAACTGACAATTACACTTATTTTTCTACCCTTTTACAAAATTAAATATGGGGAAAATGAACTATCGTAAATGAAACCATTTGTGAAAATCATTACAATGAGAATTTTATCAAAAGTAAGTAGTAATTCAATTCATGTGCAGTGAGATGAAACTATAAATGTGGAAGCGAAACCACTGAGTAAGACACCATGAAACTCATGAAGTTAGTTCATCCAAAGTTCGAATGCTTCTAAAGTGCACTTGTTTGTTATATACTTCATAGCAGAAGTAGTTTAAATATCACTTCAGTTTAACAACTAGTGAATGAACTTAAACCTACTGAATAATGATGGTATGGGTAAAATTAGTTTATTCTACACACAACCATGCAAATGAAAACCCATGTAGTGCTACTTAGTGATTGACTGTGGAATAAATGTCCCGTATTTTTAAGGAAACATAATTATCAGGGGCCAGATCGATCATGAAGATAGTTGTTCACTAGTCACACTATTGCAAAAGACCAGAAGATGGAAAGAGTATTACATTCAGGAATAAGAGGCTAGCTTATACCATTACCGTATTGAAACCTGATGGTCTCTAGGGCATTCATAGAGAGAAAAAGATGCATAATGCTCCTTGTTTTTTAACGGTTCTCTAGGTTATGATTAATAATACCAATTACACTGAAAATTTACCCACCATTTAACCTTTTTAGGAAGAGGTTTGAAGAAATTAAGTTTACGAAATGGACACTTTCGTGCCTAAAATAGGTTTAGATTATTATTTTTTACACCAAACTAATATGTATCATGCAAATTCTGAACATCGTGAAGCTATCTTTCTAAAACAAGTAATAGAGAAATGTGGAATAAGGTATCAACAATAACACCGAAATAAATATTAGAGTAAAATGAAAGTGAAATGACGTCTTTATCAGTTGCTTACTGGGTGAGTTGCTGTATTTTGATATTGCTGGCCACTTGCATTCAAAGAAGCCAGAAGGGCACTAGCTCCGAATCCTCGATTGTACTGACTACTTAACTTTGAAGTATCATCTATATGTTGCGTTGGAGCTTGAGATCCAGAGAGGAGAATATTAAGAGATGGATGTGACGTTGTCGTTGGACTACTTATAATCAACTTGGATCCTTTTGAACGACATTCATTTGATGTTCTAGGTCCTAACTGATCTTGTGCAATGCGTTCCTCATTTAGCGTTTGTTGACGCATACGTTGTTGTCGAGCAGATGTACGAGACAACATACTTCAAAAATTTTCACTTGCCAGAACATAAGCAAAAATCTGGTCAAAATATAGCAGAGATGGATGAGGACTTGATTCTCCTCCCAAGCGCTATCGTGATATATTGCTGATAGACTTCCTTTCGATAATCTAACAAGAAATAAGCGAAGTCATTGGCAAAATAAGACAGAGATTATATCATGATTTCGACATTACTAGAGATCGCAGCATGTGTGAAAATAATTCACTACTACCCACCCTATCTACCTTCGCTTAATAACAATAGGACTGAGTTATTTGTTTTAATTATCGCATATACTTACTCACAACTATCTCTTCAGATATACTTAACCATTCAAAAAAGTTAGAAACATTTTGGGAATAGCTTACCTAAACAACAGCCGCCTACATACAGTTCAGTTAGCCTGACTTACATATGAAATACATAAAAAGAACATCTAGTCATTTTATCTCATATAATCACACTAGGATTATAAGGCCTGTATAAATAGTATCTAACAGAAGCCTCCTCCTAAGCGGAACTTTGAAAGGAGAAAAACCACAAATTCCTCAGATTCTTTAGTGTTCAAATATTATCAACCTTTTTCTTTTCGATGAATTATCAACGCCATATTACAACAATGTGAACTGATATGCCGTTTACCACGGCTGATGTATTTATTCGTTCAGCTTTTGAAATAGCGCTTCTGATATAATTCAGAATACTTTATGTTTAAAAATGTTATTACCCACTGATTGGTGCAGAATTACTTCCATCAAATAAAAGCAAACAAAAAGCGGATTTTATAGTTAAGAATAAAATAATAAGCTAACACCACAGAAATCGCAAAAGGTTTAGTTCCGGATATACTTTTAAATCAAGTACAAAATGAACTGTAGTTTTTTAAAATGCTGTATGTGTATTAAAGCTTTTCAAAGTAAACAGTACAAGTGATGCGGATGATTTAAAATATGTACTGGGAACGTGGAGAATGTTCCAAATATCTGGCGATGAAAAGGTGGCATTAACCACGCTAACAGTAGCATGGATCAACACTGAGTTGGTCGGCTTTAGAATTGTGATGTTTTTATCCATTGGTTAGGAAAACCAACTGTCAATCTTTTCCTAACAGATTCGGGATCCACTTCACCTATCATCATTTGAGCAGCTAAACACTGTTGTCAAGTGGATGGATAAACACGTAACCGTTGTGTGAAAGGTATTTTAGAATACTGTTAATGCAAAATAATAATCCGCCGAAAATAAAAGCTATGAAAGAAATCAATAATAACCAGAACAAAGCACAGGAAATTATGAATGCCCTGTGTATTGAAGCAGATGATGTTGACAGCGAAATACAAACTAAGTGAATCGATCTTACTGGGAATAGTTTCGAACTACCGAATTAGGGTAGGCTTTTGCTTAGCATTTTTAAATAAAACAAAACATCCATAACTTTTTAAGTGATGAAAACCTCTAATGTGGCAATAGAAACACACCACAGTTGCAGTTTTCAGCAAATCGTCTAAGGATCTGAAGACAAACTTTCCCGAGAATAAAAGATGGTATAAAACTAGATCGAAATACAGACCCTACGCTGGATAAATAAGCAATTGCCCAATTCATAGCCTTTCAAACGCGAAAGTGTTGACAGAGATTGATTATTTTCGAACTTATATGAAATTTAGTTTGCAAAATTTATATTTCCTTTTTCATCTCTTACCGATCCTAAGAAGCTTATTTCAATTAATTCATACAAAGGTATTGCGGTAAGAGAATTTCTTTCAATAAGTCACTTACTTCTTCGCTTCGGGGGGCATTTAAGTCAGCGAATGTTCAATGTAAACAGTTCCTGTATTCTTAGTTGTACTACTTACTACACTGTATACATGTATTGCAGAGCCCAATGGAAAAGAGAACTAGACCACTAGATGCCTAGATGCCACGTCAGGTATCATTTGATAGCTTTGGTCCTTGCATAACCGTACTGTATGTTTATAACAGGAAACCAAGTAGAAAAACAAAATGAGCACTACGATCTAACTAGTATTCAAAAATAGGAGAATCTGACGAGACGGCAGAACGTTGATAATTTAGTAAAAACACGGCGTAAATAAAGTCAGAAACAAAAACGGTGGGGAAATTGAAGCCCTATGAACAACAATAACATACAAAACCAGTTATATTAAAGTTAACCCACTTTATGAGGATAAGACACGGCGCATATATGGCGTGTAATCTTTCTCCAATATTTTATTTTATTATCTCGGATTTCCCGTGGAACATAAGGTTTTAAGCTAGAGCTTTGGTGTTTCCGTAGGAGTGGTGTTCATCTTTTGCGATATGGGGTTGCTAGCCGCACGCCCAACCCTTATACGTGTAACCTCACTAACACAGAGTAGACATTCCACTGGTCAAATTTGAGACATCAGTATGATTCTAGACGAAAGTTTTAAAGGTTTCTAAGCCGTTAAACAAACAGTGTACACTTCAATTAGTGCTGAATCCTAGATTGAATCTCCCTAATCCTAATCTTAAGCCGGTTATCATGGCGTGTATGAGTAAAGTGCCGCGACTGTTTTAAAGCGATACACTAACAGTTTCGATTTACTTTGGAAACCACTCACAGTGATGTGCTCCTCTAGTATTTTAGCATTTTCTTCAATCTCTAATTATTAACCCTGTCAAATATGATTTTAGTACTCATTACATATCCGCCAATTTACATGCTGTTTCGAAGTGTCACTTATTTACTTCGGAGTTCTGTAACTTATCTCCTAAATACAGTGTGATATTATTTCATATGTATCCACTAAACCGGCGTGATTACTGGGAGAAATAGGTATTAGATTTATGTAAAATACATAACAGAATAGGTAAAATACATAAGAAACTGTGGTTAATACATGCGCAATGAAGCAATGCATTTTATAATAAAATTTTCAGTGTCACCAAAAATACTTTTTGCGGAGAATACTGATTTCTCATCTACTGCTTGGTTCCCATATGAGAACTTCAGCATGGTTACTTTCCAAAACTTACGGATAGTTCTTTTGTATGAAAAACATCTATGCTGAACAAGTTCTTATACTAAACAAGAATTTTATCAGTAAACTCAATGACAAACGTACAATTAAACGTCTTTTCGAAAAACCGTTACAACTAACCTGTTCTAAAATAATTTAAAAACCCCTCTAGTAGCCTATAACAAATTTCCCAGACTTCCATACAACATTGAAGATACTTAACAAACCTTGAGTGTAGATCAGTCAATATATTTAATACTGCCTCTGGATTACTTAATTCTTCGGAAACCGAAAAATAATTTGCAAGCCATGAATTCCCTCCACCAGATGCAAGTCTCTGCAGATCAATAAGCTAAAACATGCTGTAGCTTTACTATTACTGACAAACTATTTCTGATTTACACGCATATCGTCGTTGACCTTAGTGACGTACACCTAGGACCACTTAATGTGAATTCAAATACAGATAGGTAGATTACACCACATGATAACATGCAGGTTGCTAAGTTTCTTGTTTTCTAATTTGAATGAGGTATGCAAGTGTAAAAGGTATGTCTATACACTTTCCATTTGTTTTATTCGCTCATGCTTCACATCGTCTAGGTGACTCTCTGTGACGGTTTTAATGTTCTACAGTGTATAATTTTTCCTAACTTCAAAATGTAAGACTGCTTCTCATAAATTTGAATAACCACGACACGCTTTAGTGTGCCACTATTTATTTTCACTTTGATAATAATCGTGTGTTGAGAGAGAGAGAGACAATACGCACTATACGACGTCATATGTTGCCTTTACGTTGACTCTTACTGAACGCTTATTAAACTAACTCATGTGCCCATTTTTTACTTCGACAGGAACTAATTTTACGTATGCCTACCGAATATTTGCCCTTCTATGATTGAAAATTGGTTGTCGATTGTCATATACATACTCTGCGCGATTAGGCATGCCTGCATTTGTTTCGCATACATCAAAGTTCGATATCACTTACAATGCATTTTTCAAACCTTCATTTGTGCTTTTCCTAACAACGTTGCTGGTACTTTCCAATGAACTCCATTCAAACCTTGTAGACCGTGAAGGCGGGGATGCATTATCGTATATTGACCAGATTTACACTTAGTTCGTCATAAGCATTTCATATACGAGCTGTCGACCAAATATTCGACTTTATCAATAACGACCTCCCGATATTGGATTTCCTTCAGTTTGCTGCTAAATGGTAACAAGAAAACTTCGATGTTTTAAACTTATACTTTACTGAACATGAAGAAAATAAAGGACAGATTCAGATATGAAGGCATTCTTTATCGACAAAATCACCTTCAGGGGCTGTACAGTCGTATTTGTACTTACGAAAATGTATAGTAGTCTATTATTGAGTAATAGGGGGTGGCATAGTTGATATAATTACTCAGAAGTGGCTTTAGAAGGGAAAATTTAAAGTTGTGGTACTCAGTGGCACAAAGATAGAAATTTGATAAGCTTAAAATTGCTATTGAGTGAGGATAAATGTAGTTGAGTGTCAATTTAAGGCAAGAGCAAACCAAAAGTAAGATTGAAAATTGAAAAAGTAAACAAATATAGAAACATTTTTTACAGGGAACGACTAGTGAAGAGGTTAAGACCAAGGTAGAATGAGAGACTAGACAAACTTTTTCTGTATACAGAGTTCAGGGTTGTATTGATGAATCGCCAGCACCTCCGCCATGCACAAAAGTCGAAACCTGACGCCCTTTGTACCATTTGGCTTCACTTTGTAGATTATGTTGAAAGACGACACTGGTGGAGCTACGTGCCTTGAGTTCACCAAGTGCTCGAGAGTTGAGCTAGTAATCGTCTTGCATTTTCCTTTAGCTTACCATGCCGGATAATGCTTAGAGGTGCATTTGGAAAGTGTGCGCTTCGTGCGGCCGATATAACTAGCTCCACACGAGCAGGTGAATTTATAAACACATATTGAAGTGTCCCAAAGTGGCAGTTTATCCCTC